TTAGTACAATTCACAAATGCAGTTTTTGAGAAATACAAACTTTGTGTGTCTTTTTTGAGTATTCCTGAGGAATGTGGCACTTACCCAGTTAGCATGGCCCTTGAATGTTGCTGGCTATGTTCTACTCTTGTCAGTTCAATAAAAGCAATTTGATCACAGCCAAGCACAGCTCTGAGTTTCCTTCAGCTGTTGAGATGGCACATTCTTATTGAGGGAAGGTATTATTTTCTGCATTGCCCAAACTCCAAATAATGGATTAAGGAGAATGGGATGAAATACATTTGCTATGGTACACTGACTACTAAGCTGCTCCTGATAACTCCGTGCCTCTGGTTGAGTTCTCGTGTAATCCTTACTTCTTTTGTGTGGACTGAACCTAGTGTCCTGACTGTAAGGGACAGGATTTGATGAAAGTGGTTGGGTGAGGTTTCAGAAGCTCGTGACGCCTGACTTGCTGGCACCTCTCAGTCTGCCGCCCTTCTGACTTGGTTGCCCTGGGGAAGCAAGCCGACACCTGTACAGCTGTCACATGGGAAGGAAAGGTCACGTGTGGAAGAACTGAGAGTAGGCTCTGACAAAGGCCTTGGGAGAATGCAGTCCCATCAGTGGCTCTGCCGAGGCATGTTCGGAAGCAAACCCTTCCCTGTTGCACGTTGAATATGATTGCTGAGAAGAGATCTCAAGGCAGCTGTGCTCAGATGCTGAACTCTGGAAAATGGAAATTACTAATGCTGTTTCAAGGCACTACATTGTTGCACAGCCACGGCTGCCTCATATGCCGGATTATAGAAGTGAATGCCTGAAAGTGAAATGCAAAGTTTCAAAAAAGAATGTGAATGTAGATTTCTGTGTGTCACTAACCCAGTTAGAACTTTGGCATGGATGTTCTACCTACACTGTCTGTGATCATCGCCACAACCTGGCATGGGTGGTGCTAAGCACACATTTTCAATAGAACTAAAGCAATAGAAATTCAGTAATTTGGCTCAGAACAGTTTGTTAAAGGATTCTAGAGGAGAGAGAAAAAACAAACCCTGTTCTGAAGGCTTAGTTCTTTGTTCTGAGAAGACATGGGGAAGAGGGGTTGGAGTAGGCTAGAAACCAGAATCCTCTGGGGGATCTTTTCAAACTTATGTTGGTTTCATTTCCCTACCCTGTTTTAGCCGAATTGTTCCAGATGGTGGGGTTGTCCCAGAAAATGCTGAACAGGTTTACATTCATCCTTTCAGCTTGAGACTGTGACCAGAAAAAATAATAATTGTATATTTATGCATGTTCTAATTGAGGAACTGGTAGTCCTCAGAAGCCTCCATGGTAAGGAGTAAAATAATCATGTGATTTTGGCATTCTGGTATTAGGTTATTTCAAGTAAGTTAAAAAAATAAGGCAGAAGTAGGCAGCTGACCTAATTAATATTCCAGTTAAAACACCATGTCCAACATTGTAGTGCCTGGATTTAGTTTTGATTCCTAGCTCTGACTTCGTGTTCCTGTTAATGTGCATGGTCAGAAGCTATGGTAATGATTCAAGGATTTTGGTTCCTGCCAATCATGTCAAAGACTGACATGAGTTCCCAGCTGTAAGTTCCACCCCAGCTGCAGCCATGGCCATTGCAGGTACCAGAACAGTGTAATGGAAAATGGTAGCTCTTGGTCTGTCTCTTAAACAATAAGTTTTAAAAATAGAATAAAGAGCTTCACTATTCCGTAGGTTCAATATATGATGTTAATTGGGTTAGAACCTGTTTCACCTATACGCACAGCTTGGCAAATGTGTATTTGGTTAAACAAGGACACAATGAGGGTGAAATGGATTTGTGTGTTATGAGTACTGCTTTCATGTGATTGGTAATGGGGGTGGGAAATAAGCTTAAGAAACAAAAAAAAGATACACCACGGTGTCCTTGGGTAAATGCAGGAGGCCTGGAAACTCCTGATGTCTTCTAGAGTGGAACAGGCAGCTATACGTACAGGGTCTGCCTTCTGTCAACAGCCCTTCAGTTCCTATGAAAGCTTTCCTGCTGGAGAAAACACGCCTCTCCTGGGCTTGCAGACAGGCCAGGTTCTCTCATGACTTCTGTTTTTTCATGCAGGTCTAAACCTTGCATGCAGTAGCCATGACCTCTCCATGCATTTTAGTGAAACACTTCATAATGAACTGAGAAAATCCACAGTTGCACCTGGAGGAGCATCACTGTTTCTTGCCTTCTTGCTATTTTATCAAATTTTATTCACAGATTTCTCTGAAGCATCTTTATCCACAAGGTAGCCACGATCCACACAAGTCTACGCAGCACTTGAAATGGGGTTAGTGAGACTAAGAAACTGTATCTTTCTTTAATTAATCTAAGTGACCATATGTTGCCAGTGACCACTTTGGGATAGCACAGTTCTAGAAAATGTCCTCATGTTGTACATTTGTTGATTTATTCTTGGCTCCTATTTATAGAACGTGTTCTACATGCCAAGCACTATACTTAGAATTTTGTATATGTTCATTTGATTTTCACAAAACCCAGTGAAGCCCACTTTCTTTTTATATTTCCAATTGAATTTCAGAGAAATGCAGTGGCCTGTCTTAAGTCACATAGAGAACGCATAGAGTTTAAAATACAGACTGTGATTTCTTTACAACAAATGGTTAACCAAGAATGTAGGTGAAAACAATGAGTCCAAGACAATTAGACTATTACCCTGACTACTATGTGTTGTTTCATTTTATTGCTTACTGTGAACACTTTGGCCACAGCAAATATGTTAGTTTTTAAACAAACATAATTAGAAGCTTTTATATCATATACATTTTCTCCAAAAAATATACAAAAACAATCAGTGAAACCCAATGTCTATAATGATAATGTGCACATTTGTGCTGTTATGACATCAAATACAAACAGTCAACATCTCATCTCTTTTACATATATATTTGTGAGACACTTTCAGGGAGGTCATAAACAACTCACAGGAAAGAGATGATGTTGCCGAAATGGCTTCTGTGCAGTTAGTAGTTGTAGAACGTAAGAGGTAAATAATAAACATCTATTAACAGTGAAGTTGATTTCCATTTCCATGGATCTTTTAGCTCGTCTTGGGAATGTATGGTGTATTGGTAACCAAGAGTCTGCAAAGTAGAGGGACCTAGGCACTTTGAGCATTACTGCTTCAGTGAGACAGGTCTTGTCATACCTGTGGATAAAGGATATCCACAAATAAAGCTGTGCTTAGAAATTGCATGTCAACCAGGGAGTTTCTCACCAGAATAGCCTGGAAGTCTTGACTGCTTTGCACCTTCATATGGAAGAAAATGATCAGTGCCTAAACATCAAGAAAGTCCTTCAAAACATGTCTAGCATTCATATTTCATGGCTGGTTAGACTGTATTTCTGTTAGAACAATGTTTTTAGCATTGTTTTTGAGAGTAAAATAGGTTAGTTATGTTGAATACTAAGTCTCATAACCACAACTATAGGGAGAACAATTTATAGCTTAAGACATTTTATTTGCTTTATTTAGCAACATCTTAGCATTGTCTTGGGATTTGATGAAATCCCAAGTGATGATATTGAGTTAAACTTTAAGATTTAATTGTAAGTAACACAGAAATTTGATCATCTGTTGTCAAGTGCTCATAGCAAAGGGAAGACAATTTTAAAGGTTCCTGGAAAACATACTTGTTTTAATTCCATTTTGCACTGACTTTATGAAGTCCACTCTCACACAGTTCTAGATACATGTGATGACCTGAATACAATTATTAGTTTTAATATCCCTTGCACCAAAATATGCCATACAATTGTTTATAAAATGCTCTTATATCCCAAGGTAGGCACTTGATATACGTTATGTTTTGGTAAAAGGCAGCAATTAGATATCAGTACCTTACTCATTTCCATTAAGTGTGTATCTGTTTCAGTAGAGTATATGACCAAGCTTCCATAAAACAGAAAAAAAAAATCTGTCTAAGCTACACTTGAATGAAAAGTCACAGAAAAGGATCTAAATTTTATTTTTTTTTCCTTTGTTATATAAGCTTACTTGGTCTTCATGGCCACTCTGGGATCTCGCTCCCTGATGTGTAATATTATGAGAATATTTGGATTTTTTTTTTTACACTGGCATGTAGTACATGTTGCCTGTGGAACTTCTAAAATATTTTTTTAACCACAGCTGGTGTCAAATGTGTTTGAATCCATTGAGTAAGGTCAGATCATTTATAGAAGACCGTGGCTGGTGTGAAGAGTTCTTGGCTTCAATTAGCTGTTGGATCACTTGATTCTGCTTCTGTTTTCAAGTTCAATAAAGAACATTCACCAGTTCTGTTGTTTTCCCTCCTAAGGACAGGGATTCACTTCACATCACACAAAACACAAGCAGAGGTTTTGAGGTGTGAGAATGCTACACAGCCTCAAGGCAGATCGCACTCTGGAGCATTTCACTTCCGTACAGCTGGATCCTGGTCACCCACAAGCATCACAAAACGCAACTTTGTTAACAAGGGAGCTGCAGCTGTTCCTTCTCACACCAACTTCTTACAACTTCCATCCAGTGCCTCAAACAGTGCTACACACATGGGGGGTTTCATTTTACATCATTGATGAATAAAACATTAAAGCATTCTAGTTTTGACTTCCAGAGCTGCACAAAATAGAGCATTCCTCTGTTGTGTGGAAGCTTTGTCTTTTCCGGTATCATTATTGATGCTTCCTTCATCTGAACATTAAACAACCTGATGATCAGATGTTCTGTCAATCTCGTTATTCCTACTGAAGTGAATCAATACATCTTTAAAATGTAGTCCCAAGGAACCAAGCGTAATACTCCTGACTGGGTCAGCTCTGAGAAGTATCAGAAGCTCGTATCTTTTTTTGCAGGGACATTTTTCATGAAATCTTAGCTGCTCCAAAAATATCTTCCTTAGGAAAACTTTCCCTGCCTATTTCTGGGTAAAGGCAGTTTATTTCAGGGAACATCACTGATTCTCATATATTCCATTCTGGAGCATTATTTCCTTGAACTCCCAGGATAAGGAGGGGGTGGAGAGCGTTGTGCTGATGTCTGTGGAGTTGGGGAGTAGGGAGGGGGTAAGTCTCGACAGTATTCCATCTCGTAGTCGCAGCTGTATGGGGGTGGTGCCACTGTAAAAGCAAAGGAAATGAACATGAGATATTGATCAGATATTTTATTGTCTTCTGTGTTTAAACCACTGGGCTGGATTCTTTGGGAAGAGACGTATTTTTTTTGTCTGTAAACTTCTTTGCTTTATCAGGCCAATGAACACATACATATGAAAGAGATAGTCTTTTAAATGTGATGTCATGGGTTAGAGTATGCAGAATTGATGACTTGACTTTTTTTGACGATATGATTCTGGAGGAGTGGAAAGAGAACAATCTGAGAAATGACCCATGTTTCAGCAAAATCAAGAAGTGCTTTTGCACAAGCAAGAAGCATAGAATGGAGAAATAGCAAAAGAGTTGAGGAATTCGGTTGCTCAGTCACCATGGTGAGCTTTAAAAATGTTTATTTATTTTCATTTTACTTGAGATGCAGAGAGACACAGAGTGACAGAGGAATAGACCCATACAGAGATATATTTTATCCAGTGAATGGAACAAATGCCAAAATGACCATAACAGCCAGAGATCTGCCATGCTGCTGGCGAGAGCCAAGAATCCAGTTTGAGTTTCCTACACAGGTATCAGGGACGTGATACTCGAGTGGTCAGCTGCTGCCTGCCAAGGGTGGTTTGGAAGTAGGCTGGATCGTAAGCAGAGCCAGGACTTGAACAAGAGACTCTAATATGGAATGTCAACCTAAGTGGTGTCTTCAACATTGCCCCAAACCTGGCCCCCATGATGGGCTTTGTATATCACATGTTGACTATGGGATGAGGACCTAGGGCAGACTTTGAATATGCTAATGAATATGCTTTGGTAAGACACAGAGGAAGGCTGAAGGAAAGGTGAGCTGATGTAATGGCATGCCCTAGAGATTATGAAGCCCTTATCCCAGTGGTGGGGAAGAAAAACTCATAAAGGCCCAGCAAGCTCTTAGCTGATGACTGGCATGTGGGTGAAAAGGGTAGTGAAGTAAAGGAAGGGTGAAGGTATTGGGTACCCAATAGGGGGCCCGCATAAACTGAGTGGGCTACAGATATAAGAAGGAAAGGGAATAAGCAAGGTTGTGAGTGAACATGACTTAATTTTTTACATTTCATTTAAAAAAATGTCCTTTGACTGTAATATAATGTAAATGCATTTTTCAATACACTGAATATACTGTAGAGTGATTACGTGTGGATGTGTATTTTGTAGTAATCTCACTCTCGTTTCCAGTGTGTGATGGAGAGGGACCTTTTGAGTTGAAATCCATCCATTCCTTTAAGATCCAAGGTTATTCTGCAACAGCCGAACCACTCCTCAGCAGCCAGTCTGATGACTTACAAGTGGACAGATCACTACCATTACCTTGATTTTACTCAGAAGTTGCTTTAACTGCTAGGAACATAGCCCAAATCACAAGGCAGGTGAAAATAATGGAAAGAGGGCCTGGGAGCGATAATGTAGTAGTTAAAGTCCTGGGCTTGAATTCGCCAGGATCCCATAGGGGTGCCAGTTCTAATCCCGGCAGCCCCGCTTTCCATCCAGCTCCCTGCTTGTGGCCTGGGAAAGCAGTCGAGCACAGCCCAAAGCCTTGGGAACCTGCAACCACGTGGAAGACCTGGAAGAGCTCCTGGCTCCTGGCTTCAGATTGGCTCAGCTCCAGCCGTTGCGGCTGCTTGGCGAGTGAACCATCGGACGGAAGATCTTCCTATCTCTCCTCCTCTTTGTATATCTGCCTTTCCAATGAAAATAAATAAATATTAAAAAAATAATGGATAAAAATGATACTTTTTTTCTACAAGCTTTCTTACAGAACATTTTTACTTATTTGTGAGTCAGAGAGAGCAGAGAGCAGAGTGAGCCAGTTCCCACTTGTTGGCTCCTTCCCCAAATGCCCACAATTGCTCGGTATGGGTCAAGGCCAAAGCCTGGAGTCTGGAACTCAATCCAGGTATCTCGTGTGGATTGTAGACTTCATAGTACTTGAACCATCACTGCTGGAATGAGGAGCCAGCCACGCTGATATGGGAAGCAAACATCTTCCCCACTTACCAAATGCTTGGCCCGATGTCCAGTCTTTTAACATCAGAGTGACAGAAAAGAACAAGTAAGATTTCAATCAACTCTTTCCTAAATGTTTTCCAGGAATTTGGCAGCGCTCTCATGAAGAAACACAAGCATAGCACCTCCACTGATGAGTGTACACAAGCCATGTTTCCTTTTAAATCCGGTTGGCTTGCCTATCTGCTCGAGAGCTTCATGATTTAAATCATCTAGTGATCCCCCTATATTTGTAGGATTGAGTCACTTGACAAAGCAGAAAGATGGAATGACAGATCTGAGTGGGATGGCCCCTCAGCACTATCCTGCTGACAGGTCTCTAGAGGGTAGAGCTTCCAGCCGAGGACATGGCACAGTCAACAAACCAGCAAGGGAGTGCAGAACTCCCAGGCACATTCAGACTCTCAGCAGCAGTGTCACTCCAAGTTCTGTTTTCTACAACACACTGCACTAACTCCTATGGAGTCTAAACACACAGTCCCTCTGCCTCACACCCACGCTTCTGCTTCATTATATCCTGGGGAACTAAGACAAAGAACTTTATAATACCTTTCAGGCCAGCTAAGAAAAGAAACAGTGCAGCTCTCATGGAAAATAGGAAGTTCCAGCTGGATGCCCATCTAATTGTTTCTTATAAGCCTGTGGGTTCCGTGTTGTTTTTGCACTGTGGCGTTTTCCTGCATCCCACGTGAGGGGCACACACCTACTGATGCTGATCTACATTCTTCCCTGTCATGAAGCCCTGGCGTGTGTTTGTGCATCTGTAACAGCGTGTTTATACTCTGCCATCTGCACAAGCACTGGTGGAGGACATCTCGGCCTGAGTCTCTATGGTTCTGCAGCTGCATGTGGAACAGGAAAATCTGAGACAGGAAACACTGTTCTTTCATTCCTCTAACCTTTGAATTTTGCTAAAGTGATGATCTAATGATGAAAAGTGCTGTTTTGAAATAAACCCGGCACATCCTTTAGAATAGCAGCCGCCGGGAGAGGTTCTGAAAGAATACTTTCATGATTGTACATTGTGCTATATTTCTTTCTTGTAGGTAATAAGGTCTCACTAAAAAGTAAACTTTTCTGAGTCTCGATTTTAGAATCCCTCATTAATCGTAAGAGGTTTAGTTCCTTTTTATAGGTCAAATCATCTTTAAAACACGGATAAAAACAGCTGGAATCTCAATGTCTCTGAAATCTTTTCATAACTGAAATTCCAATTCTCTGATTAAGTAGGGAAAAAATATTTCATTCAAGGTAAATGAGAAGGTTATCCACAATAATAAAAGATTCATGAATGCTCTGAAATTCAGAGGAAAAATTTCATGTTTTCAACCCACGCAGGTGACTATCTGTAGCGCTGACGTGCTGGAAGGCTGAACAGTGCTATCAAAACTATTTAATATGATTTTAGACATTAGAGAAACAAAACAAAATGATCCACAATTCTGCCATCCCAAATTAATAACATAATATCCTTAAATGTGCTCGCCTAGTCTTTTGTGTACGATTGTATCCCTGTAGTCACCTAAAATGATGCAGGCTTTTTTGCTTTGTTTTATGACATTAGGCTCTGCTATGCAGTTTGTATAGAGCTTGAGTGCCGTTGGAGACTGTGCCTGTTGAAACTTGCTCCCCATTTTGTGGTGATCAAGAGGGAGGATTTACTCCAAGAGTGTCTCCTGTTTCAAGATAAGACCTTTGATAAGGGATTAGGATTAGAAAAGATTATGAAAGTGCCATCCATGATTGCATCTGATGGCTTTTATTGGTGATGATATTATTCCATTGACAATCTTGGGGCTAAACATTTTTTCTAGTGATAAATATCTTCTTACACAGAGATTTTTAAAAATTCAATTGAAAAAATTTAAGTAAAATTTGAAATAATTGACCACTATGCCTAAGTGGTACACAGATTTTACTGCTTGGAGTACATAGTGAAATTTTTTCCAAAACGAATTGCTTCATCTTACAAAGGGACCAGGAAGGCATACAGGCACGCTGTTATTCAACAGTTGGTAATATAGCAAAACTTTATAATGCTTAGTAGAAAAACCACTTTTCCTCAACAGTGTAGACAAGGTCCACAAATAATAATAGAATCTCAAAATGTACTTTATAATTAGTTCACACATATAAGGAGAAATTACGGTATTTGTCAGACAGCTATTTATACTTCCTTGAGTATAATGGTTCTCCAGTTGCATAAACTTGCTGTGAAAGATAGGGTTACATTTAAATCATTTTTTCATTTCTTTGTTAACATCTAGGTTTGACATTGTGCTGCATCTGGTCTACTGTTTGGAATTTGGATGAACTTTTGGGTGAATTTAGCTTTCTTCTGCAGATATCTGATACACACTGTTTTTGTTTTACATTTATGCATTTAAAATTTTACATATAAATCATGGTTTACTTAGATCTGCTATTTGACATAGCTTTACATCAAAGTTTACTTTTTCTAAATGTTAAATGTTAACCTATCACCTATTAAGTAAACTTCATATTTCACATGATTTCTTCAGATCTTTGGAATATGTAAAAAAAGTAAATTATAATTTACTTTTTTGTTCAATGATTAACGCTTATCTTTTTGCAATAGAACCAACTTATTTTAACTTTTACTGAGTTTAAACATGAAGTCCATTGCTTATTTTTAAAGAAAGTTTTCAATATTATTGCTAGGAGCAAACTTCTCCACTATTGCACAAATCCCACTACTCGTAATTTCCCTAAACGTCACCCAGAATGGAGGGTTTTAATAAAGACCTATAAAGCACCTGGCGAGACTTGTACCCATCCCAGCCCCACATGAATAATACCATTCCTATTCCCTCTACCATAGGCCCCATGATCCTAAGGCATGTTAGTACAGATTGAAGCAGGTTCTATCACACTTTACCTCTCTCTGTTACCAGAACAAGCTCTCAAAATGTACATGGCAAGACTGTGGTCCTAGATGGCACTGCACTTCT